TCCCATTTTCCCCTCTCCCTGTTCCCCTTTCCTCTTGCTCCTGATCCCATTTTCCTCTGTTCCTGATCCCATTTTTCCTCTCCCTGATCCCATTTTCCTCTCCTGATCCCGTTTTCCTCTCCTGATCCCATTTTCCTCCCTGATCCCATTTTCCCTCCCTGATCCCATTTTCCTCTCCCTGATCCATTTTCCCTCGATCCCATTTCCTCCTCCTGATCCCATTTTCCCTCCTGATCCCATTCTCCTCCCTGATCCCATTTTCCCTCTCCTGTTCCTATTTTCCCCCTGTTCCCATTTTTCCCTGATCCCATTTCCTCTTCCCTGATCCCATTTTCCCCTCCCTGATCCTATTTTTCTCCCTGATCTCATTTTCCTCCTGATCCCATTTTCCCCTCCCTGATCCCATTTTCCCCTCCCTGATCCCATTTTCCCCCTCCCTGATCCCATTTCCCCCTCCCTGATCCCATTTTCCCTCCCTGTTCCCATTTCCTCTGATCCCATTTCTCCCTGTTCCTATTTTCCCCTCCCTGATCCATTTTCTCCCTGATCCCATTTTTCCCCCCCTGATCCCATTTTTCCCCTCCCTGTTCCCATTTCCCCTCCCTGTTCCCATTTTCCCCTCCCTGATCCCATTTTTCCCCTCCCTGATCCCATTTTCCCCCTCTCTGACCCCATTTTCCCCCTCCCTGATCCCATTTTCCCCCTCCCTGATCCCATTTTCCCCCTCCCTGATCCCATTTTTCCCCTCCCTGATCCCATTTTCCCTCCCTGATTCCCATTTCTCCTCTCCTGATCCCATTTTCCTCCTCCCTGATCCCATTTTCCCTCCCTGATCCCATTTTCCCTCCCTGATCCCATTTTCCCTCCCTGATCCCATTTTCCTCCCTGATCCCATTTCTCCTCCCTGATCCCATTTTTCCCTCCCTGACTCCCATTTTCCCTCCCTGATCCCATTTTCCCTCCCTGATCCCATTTCCCCTCCCTGATCCCAAATTTCCCTCCCTGATCCCATTTTCCCTCCCTGATCCCATTTTTCCCTCCCTGATCCCGTTTTTCCCCTCCCAGGTGGTGGCCCTGGAGGGCTCCAACAGCACCGGCCGCAGGATCGTCGTGTCCAAACTCTACGAGGTGACCCCGGGGGGGGGTCCCAACCCCACATTTTGGGGTGGAAAAGGGGGATTTGGAGACCTTCATTTTGGGGTGGAAAAGGGGGATTTGGAGACCTTCATTTTGGGGTGGAAAAGGGGGATTTGGAGCCCTTCATTTTGGGGTTTTTTTGCAGGGGGTTCCTCTGCCCTTCCACACCCCCACCGAGCCCCCCTCGGGTGAGTCCTGGGGCTTCCCCCGGGCCCTTCTTGTCCCCAAACCCTCCTTCTTTGTCCCCAAAATGCCCTAAGCCCCGCCCTGTTGGATCTCCTAAACCCTCAGCTCTTTTGTCTCCAAATGCCTCAAACCCACCCTGTTGGATCCCCAGGCGCCATCTGTTTTGTCCCCCAAATGCCCTTTTTCCCCCAAACCCCCTGTTCGTCCCCGAACCCTCCTTCTTTGTCCCCAAATGCCCTTTTTCCCCCAAACCCACCGTCGGTCCCCAGCGCCATCGTTTTGGTCCCCAAAATGCCTTTTAGTGCCTGAAACCCCCTGTTGGTCCCTTAAACCCTCCTTCTTTGTCCCCAAAATCCCCCAAACCCCGCCTCTGTTCGTCCCCAAACCCTCCTTCTTTGTCCCCAAAATGCCTTTTTCCCCAAACCTCCGCTCTGGTCCCCAAACCTCCTTCTTTTGTCCCCAAATGCTCTTTGTAGGCCTCTTAAGCCCCCTGTTGTTCGTCCCTAAACCTCTCTTCTTTGTCCCCAAATGCCCTTTTGTGGTCCTAAACCCCCCTGTTCATCCCCAGCGCCTCGTTTTGTCCCCAAATGCCCTTTTCCCCCAAACCCCCTGTTCGTCCCCAACCCTCCTTCTTTGTCCCCAAGATGCCCTTTATGCCCCCCAACCCCCTGTTCGGTGCTCCAGGGCCTCGTTTTGTCCCCCAAATGCCCTTTCCCCCAACCCCCTGTCTCGTTCCTCAAACCCTCCTTCTTTGTCCCTAAGATGTCTTTTCCCCTAAACCCCCTGTTCATCCCCAACCTCCTTCTCTTGTCCCCAAATGCCCCAAACCCCCTCCTGTTCGTCTCCCAAACCCTCCTTCTTTGTCCCCAAAATGCCCCAAACCCCCCTGTTCATCCCCCCAAGCCCTCCTTCTTTGTCCCTCAAATGCCTGCCAAACTCCCTGTTCGTCCTCAAACCCTCCTTCTTTGTCCCCTAAGATGCCCTTAAACTCCCTCTGATTGCGTCCCTTAACCCTCCGATCTTCTGTTGTCCCTAAAATGCCCTTAAACCCTCTGTTCGATCCCCAAAACCTCCTTCTTAGTGTCCCCAAATGCCCTAAACTCCCCTGTTCGATCCCCAGCGCTCTGCTTGTGTCCCCAAAATGCCTCTTCCTAGTGACCCCTAAACCCCCCTGTTCGTCCCTAAACCCTCCTTCTTGTGTCCCCAAAATGCCCCAACCCCCCTGTTCGTCCCCAAACCCTCCTTCTTGTCCCCAAAATGCCCCAAACCCCCTCTGTTCGGTGCCCCAGCGCCCTGCTTTGTCCCCAAAATGCCCTTTTTCCCCCCAAAATGCTCTCCCCTTGCCCCCCAGAGCCCCTCCTGGTGCTCGTGGCCTGCGGGCCCTTCACGCCCTCGGACGGCGTCGCCTTCGACCCCCTGAGCGACCTCCTGGAGGTGCTGAACAGGGACCAGCCCGACGTGTGTGTGCTGGTGAGCCCCAAAACCCCCCTGGTGACCCCAAAACCCCTCCCTGTGACCCCAAAACCCCCCTGGTGAGCCCCAAAACCCCCCTGGTGACCCCAAACCTCCTGTGAGCCCTAAACCCCTCCTGGTGAGCCCCAAACCCTCCTAGTGACCCTAAACCTCTTCCTAGTGACCCTAAACCCTTCCTGGTGAGCCCAAACCCTTCCTGGTGACCCCAAACCCTCCCTGGTGACCCCAAACCCCTCCCTGTGAGCCCAAACCCTCTCCCTCGGACCTAAACCCTCCTGGTGAGCCCCAAACCTCTCCCTGGTGACCCTAAACCTCCTTCCTAGTGAGCCCCAAACCCCCCTGGTGACCCCAAAACCTCTTCCTGGTGACCCAAACCCTCTCCCTGTGAGCCCCAAACCCTCCCTGTGACCCCAAACCCTTCCTGACCTCCTCCCTGTGAACCCCAAAACCCTTCCCTGGTGACCCCAAAACCCCTTCCTGACCTCCTCCCTAGAGACCTAAAACCTTCCCTGGTGACCCTAAAACCCCTCCCTGTGACCCCAAACCCTTCCCTGACCCCCTCCCTGGAGCCCCAAACCCTTCCCTGTGACCCTAAACCCCTCCCTAGACCCTAAACCCCTCCTGACCCCCTCTAGAGCCCCAAACCCCTTCCCTGGTGACCCTAAACCCTCCCTGGTGACCCCAAACCCTTCCCTGACCCTCCCTGTGACCCTAAACCTCTTCCTGTGAGCCCCAAACCCTCTCCCGGTGACCCCAAAACCCTTCCCTGACCTCTCCCTGTGAGCCCCAAAACCCTCCCTGTGACCCCAAAACCCTCCTGGTGACCCCAAAACCTCTCCCTGGTGACCCTAAACCCCTCCTTGTGACCCTAAACCCCTCCCTTGGGTGATTTTGGAGTGGGTTTGGGCTGACTTGTTGCTTCTCCTCACGTTTCTCTCTTTCCCGCAGTTTGGGCCGTTCCTGGACGCCAAGAATGAGCAGGTGGAGGTGAGGAGGGACCCAAAACCCCCCAAAACCACCCCAGAACCCCCCAAACCCACCCCAGAATCCTCCCAAACGCACCCAAATCCTCCCAAACCCACCCCAAATCCTCCTAAACCCACCCCAGAGCCCCCCAAACCCACCCCAGAGCCCCCAAACCCACCTCAATTCCCCCAAATCCACTCTAAACCCCCCAAATCCCCCTCCAAACCCATCCTCAACCCACCCTAGAACTCCCCAAACCCCCCTAAACCCACTCAATCTCCCAAACCCACCCCAACCCTCTAAACCCACTCTAAACTCCCCAACCTCAAACCCACCCAATCCCAAATCCCCTAAACCCATCCCAACCCACCCCAGAACTCCCAAATCCCCAAACCCACTCTCAAAACCCCCCAAATCCTCCCGAACCCACCCTCAAATCCCCACTAACAAACCCACCCTCAGAACCCCACAACCTCCAAACCCACTCCCAATCTCCCAAACCCACCCCAAATCCCCTAAATCCACATCCTCAAAGCCCCCAAATCCTCTAAACCCATGCTAGAAATCCTCAAATCCTCCCCAAAACCCCTCAAACTCCACCCCAGAACTCCCAGTCCCCCCCTATCCCCCATTCCCGGTGGGAATTCTGTCCCTCCCCCAGAGCTGCCGCCTCTCGGGCTCCTTCGGGGACGTTTTCCGGCTGTGCCTGCGCTCCCTCATCGAGGGCACCCGGAGGTCAGTGCTCCCAAAAACCCCTGTTCTGACCCCAAACGGGCCCTGGGGGGGACATTCCTGCTGATTCCCGGGAGGAAAATGGGGGAAAACCCTTGGATTTGGGGTCCAGAGCCCCAACAGAGGCTCTGAAACCGCTCCGGGTTTTTTTTTCCCCTTAAATCCCCCCACGTTTTCCCCCTTTCCTCCCTCAGCACCGATTCCATTCCCTAAATTCCCAATTTTTACCCCTCCTTTTTTCCAGGAGCACCAACCTCATTTCCATCCCTCATCCTCCTTTTCCAGGAGCACCAACCTCATTTCCATCCCTCAATCCCCTCCTTTTCCAGGAGCACCAGCCTCATTTCCATCCCTCAATCCCTTCTTTTTCCAGGAGCACCAGCCCCGTTTCCACTCCCCAATCCCTTTTTCCAGGAGCACCAGCCCCATTTCCATCCCTAATCCCAGTTCTCCTCTTTCCAGGAGCTCCAGCCCGTTCCATCCCCAATCCTAGTTTCTCTCTCCTTTTCCAGGAGCTCCAACCCCGTTTCCATCCCCCAATCCCAGTTTTTCCCTCCTTTTCCAGGAGCACCAGCCCCATTTCCATCCCTCAATCCCTTCTTTTTCCAGGAGCACCAGCCCCATTTCCACCCCCCAATCCCAGTTTTTCCAGGAGCTCCAGCCCCATTTCCATCCCTCAATCCCTTCTTTTTCCAGGAGCACCAGCCCCATTTCCATCCCTCAATCCCTTCTTTTTCCAGGAGCACCAGCCCCATTTCCATCCCCCAATCCCAGTTTTTTCCCTCCTTTTCCAGGAGCACCAGCCCCATTTCCATCCCTCAATCCCAGTTTTTCCAGGAGCTCCAGCCCCATTTCCATCCCCCAATCCCTTCTTTTTCCAGGAGCACCAGCCCCATTTCCACCCCCCAATCCCAGTTTTTCCCTCTTTTTCCAGGAGCACCAACCCCATTTCCATCCCCCAATCCCAGTTTTTCCAGGAGCACCAGCCCCATTTCCACCCCTCAATCCCCTCCTTTTCCAGGAGCACCAGCCCCATTTCCATCCCTCAATCCCCTCTTTTTCCAGGAGCACCAGCCCCATTTCCACCCCTCTTTCCCCTCTTTTTCCAGGAGCACCAACCCCATTTCCATCCCCCAATCCCAGTTTTTCCCTCCTTTTCCAGGAGCTCCAGCCCCATTTCCACTCCCCAATCCCAGTTTTTTCCCTCTTTTTCCAGGAGCACCAGCCCCATTTCCACCCCTCAATCCCCTCCTTTTTCCAGGAGCACCAGCCCCATTTCCACCCCTCAATCCCAGTTTTTCCCTCCTTTTCCAGGAGCACCAGCCCCATTTCCATCCCCCAATCCCAGTTTTTCCCTCCTTTTCCAGGAGCACCAAGCCCCATTTCCATCCCCCAATCCTAGTTGCCTCTCCTTCCAGGAGCTCCAAGCCCCATTTCCATCCCTCTAATCTCCTCTTTTTCCAGGAGCACCAGCCCTGCTTCCACCTCTTTTCCTCTTTTCCAGGAGCACCAGCCCTCCATTTCCACCCCCTCAATCCTCCTTTCCAGGAGCACCAGCCCCATTTCCATCCCTCAGTCCCTCCTTTCCAGGAGCACCAGCCCCATTTCACCCCTCTTAATCCTCTTTCCCCACCTCTCAGCTCGTTTTTTTCCCCCCAATCCCCCGTTTTTCCCCTCATTCCCCCCCCTGCCCCAGCTGTGACCCCGTTTGCCGTTCCCTAAATCCCGTTTTTTTCCCTGTTTTCCAGCTCTGGCTGCCACCTGGTGCTGGTGCCGTCGCTCCGGGACGTGGCCCTCGACTTCGTGTACCCCCAGCCCCCCATCCCCCATCCCGGACCTGCCTCTGAGGACCGAGGTAACCGGCCCTGCCCTCCCCATTCCCAAAAAATCCCCAATTCCCAGAACCCCTCACCCTGTCCTGGGATTGGAGCTGAAATTCCTGCCCTGCCCTTCCCCATTCCCCAAGATAAAACCCCAATTCCCAAAACCCCTCACCCTGTCCTGGGAGCTGAAATTCCTGCCCTGCCCTTCCCCATTCCCAAAAAATCCCCAATTCCCAGAACCCCTCACCCTGTCCTGGGATTGGAGCTGAAATTCCTGCCCTGCCCTCCCCATTCCCAAAAAAACCCCATTCCCAGAAACCCTCACCCTGTCCTGGGAGCTGAAATTCCTGCCCTGCCCTCCCCCCATTCCCAAAAAAACCCCCAATTCCCAGAACCCTCACCCTGTCCTGGGAGCTGAAATTCCTGCCCTGCCCTCCCCCCTTCCCAAAAAAAAACCCATTCCCAAAACCCCTCACCCTGTCCTGGGATTGGAGCTGAAATTCCTGCCCTCCCCATTCCCAAAAAAACCCCATTCCCAGAACCCCTCACCCTGTCCTGGGAGCTGAAATTCCTGCCCTGCCCTTCCCCATTCCCAGATAAATCCCCAATTCCCAGAACCCCTCACCCTGTCCTGGGATTGGAGCTGAAATTCCTGCCCTTCCCAAAAAATCCCCAATTCCCAGAACCCTCACCCTGTCCTGGGATTGGAGCTGAAATTCCTGCCCTTCCCCTTCCCAAAAAATCCCCAATTCCCAGAAAACCCTCACCCTGTCCTGGGATTGGAGCTGAAATTCCTGCCCTGCCCTCCCCCTTCCCAAAAACCCCATTCCCAGAAAAACCCTCACCCTGTCCTGGGATTGGAGCTGAAATTCCTGCCCTGCCATTCCCAAAAAAAAACCCCATTCCCAAAACCCCTCACCCTGTCCTGGATTGAGCTGAAATTCGCTGCCTGCCCTCCCCCTTCCCAAAAATCCCAATTCCCAGAAAACCCTCACCCTGTCCTGGGATTGAGCTGAAATTCTGCCCTTCCCCATTCCCCAAAACCCTAATTCCCAGAGAGCCCTCACACCTGTCCTGGGATTGGAGCCCCCTGGGATCGGAGCTGAAATTCCACCCCCAATTTGGGGTACCTGGGGGTGGGTTTGGGGTACGTGGGAGATGATTTGGGGTGCCTGGGGGGTGGTTTGGGTACCTGGGGGTGGGTTTGGTTCATTTTGGGGCAGTTTTGGGATACCTGGGTGGGGTTTGGTTCATTTTAGAATTACCTGGGGGTGGGGTTTGGTGCACATGGGGGATGACTTGGGGTGCCTGGGTGAGGTTTGAGCCCTGTGGGGGATGATTTGGGGTGCCTGGGTGGGTTTTGAGCCCCGTGGGGGATGGTTTGGGGTGCCTGGGTGGGGTTTGAGCCCCATGGGGGTGATTTGGGGTGCCTGGGGGTGGGTTTGGTCCATTTTGGGGTGCCTGGGTGGGGTTTTGAGCCCCGTGGGGGATGATTTGGGGTGCCTCGGGGTGGGTTTGGTCCATTTTGGGGTGCCTGGGTGGGGTTTGAGCCCCATGGGGTGACGGGGTGCCCGTGTGCCAGCGGGTGCTGCTGCTGCCCGAGCCCTGCACGCTGGAGGTGGCGGGGGTGGTGCTGGGGCTCAGCTCCACGGACGTGCTGTTCCACATGGGGGCCGAGGAGATCAGCAGGTGGGGCTGCAGGGCCTTGCTGGGCCTCTTTCCCCCTTTAGTCCCCCTTTTTCCCCCTTTATTTCCTTCTTTTTTTAATCTTTTTTCCCTGTTTATCCCCCTTTTTCAACTTTTTCCTCCCCTTTTTCCTCCCCTTTTTCCTCCCCTTTTTCCTCCCTTTTTCTTCCTCCTCCCCTTTTCCTCCCCTTTTTCCTCCCTTTTTCCTCCTTTTCTTCCCTCCTCTTCTCCTTTCTCTTCTTCCCCATTTCCTCTTTTCTCCCTTTTATCCCCCTTTTTCTCCCTCCTCTTTTTCTCTTTCCCACCCTCTTTCTCCCATTTCACTGCCTCTTTGAGTTCTCCCTTTTCCCCCTTTCCCCCTCCTCGTTTCCCTTTCTCCCTCTTTTTCTCCCCCATTTATCCCCATTTCCTCCTCATTTCACTTCCCTCCCCATTTTCCCCTCATTTCCCATTTCCTCCCCATTTTCCCTCTCCCTCCCATTTTGCTCCCATTTCCCCTCCCCATTTTCCCTTCCTCCCCATTTATCCCCTCTTTCCTCCTCCCCATTTATCCCTCCCATTTCCCTCCCCATTTCTCCCATTCCCCATTTCCTTCCCCCATTTATCCCATTTCCCTCCCCATTTATCCCTCCCCATTTTCCCTCCCCATTTTTCCCTCCCATTTCCTTCTCCCATTTCCCCTCCCCACTGTTCCCTTCTCCTCCCCATTTTCCCTTCTCCCATTTTTCCTCCCCCATTTTTCCTCCCATTTCTTCCTCCCCATTTCTCTCCCTCCCCATTTCCTCCCTCACCCTATCTTCCTCTCCCATTTTTCCCTCCCCATTTCCTTTCCTCCCCATTTCTCTCTCTCTCCCCATTTTTCTCTCCCATTTTCCTCCCCATTTTCCCCTCCCCATTTCCCCTCCCCACATTCCCTTTCCCTCCCCATTTTCCCCGCAGATCCTCAGGGACCTCGGATCGTTTCACGCGGATCCTGCGGCACATCCTGACCCAGCGCAGGTGAGGGGGGGGCCTGGCCCCGAAACGGCCCCAAAAGGGCCCCGAAACGGCCCCAAAAGGGCCCCAAAAGGGCCCCAAAAGGGGCAAATGCTCTCTGGGGGCTCCTCTGAAATGGCTTTTAATGTGCCCAAGGCCCTTTCTGTGCCCCCCACAGTTACTGTCCCTGTACCTACAGTTACTGTCCCCCAGTTATTACCCCTTGTACCCACAGTTACTGCCCCTGTCCCCACAGTTACTGCCCCTGTCCCCACAGTTATCCCCCTGTCCCCACAGTTATCCCCTGTCCCACAGTTACTTACACCCTGTTCTGTCCCCACAGTTATTACCCCTCTATCCCCACAGTGTAGTACCCCTTGTCCCCACAGTTATTACCTCTGTCCCCACAGTTATTACCCCTGTCCCCACAGTTATCCCTCTGTCCCCACAGTTATCCCCTGTCCCCACAGTTATCCCCTGTCCCCACAGCTACTACCCCTGTCCCCACAGTTATCCTCTGTCCCCACAGTTACTCCCTGTCCCCACAGTTACTGTCCCCACAGTTATTACCCCCTGTACCCACAGTTATCCCCCTGTCCCCACAGTTATTACCCCCTGTCCCCACAGTTATCCCCCTGTCCCCACAGTTATTACCCCCTGTCCCCACAGTTATTACCCCCTGTCCCCACAGTTATTACCCCTGTCCCCTACTAGTTATTACCCCTGTCCCCACAGTACCTGTCCCCACAGTTACTACCCCTGTCCCCACAGTTATCCCCCTGTCCCCACAGTTACTGTCCCACAGTTATTACCCTCTGTCCCCACAGTTATTACCCCCTATCCCCACAGTTATTACCCCTGTCCCCACAGTTATACCCCCTGTCCCCACAGTTATATCCCTGTCCCCACAGTTATTACCCCTGTCCCCACAGTTATTACCCCCTGTCCCCACAGCGTACCCCCTGTCCCCACAGTTATTACCCTCTGTCCCCACAGTTATTCCCTGTCCCTCACAGTTATTACTCCCCTGTCCCCACAGTTATCACCCCTGTCCCCACTAGTCATATCCTCTGTCCCCACAGTTATCCCCTGTCCCCACAGTTATTACCCCCTGTCCCCACAGTTATTCTCCTCTGTCCCCACAGTTATTACTCCCTGTCCCACAGTTATACCCCTGTCCCCACAGTTATACCCCTGTCCCCACAGTTATACCCCCTGTCCCCACAGTTATTACCCTCTGTCCCCACAGTATTACCCCCTGTCCCCACAGTGTATTCCCTGTCCCCACAGTTATTACCCTCTGTCCCCACAGTTATTACCCCCTGTCCCCACAGTTATTACCTCTTGTCCCCACAGTTATTACCCCCTGTCCCCACATTTTTCCGTGTCCCCACAGTTATTACCCCCTGTATCCAGTTTTTCTGTGTCCCCACAGTTGTTTCTCCGTGTCCCCACAGTTATTACCCTCTGTCTCCCACAGTTATTACCCCCTGTACCCACATTTTTCCATGTCCCCACAGTTATTACCCTCTGTCCCCACAGTTATTACCCTCTGTTCCCACAGTTATTACCCCCTGTACCCACATTTTTCCATGTCCCCACAGTTATTACCCCTGTCCCCAACAGTTATTACCCCTGTACCCAGCGTTTCCGTGTCCCCACAGTTATTTCCGTGTCCCACAGCTATTACCGCTGTACCCACAGCTATTACCTCTCTGTACCCAGTCTTCCGTGTCCCCACAGTTATTACCCTCTGTATCCAGTTTTTCCATGTCCCCACAGTTATTACCCCCTGTCCCCAGTTGTACCCCCTGTCCCTGCAGTTTTTCTATGTCCCCACAGTTATTACTCCCCTGTCCCCACAGTTATTACCCCCTGTCCCCACAGTTATTACCCTCTGTCCCCACAGTTATTACCCCCTGTCCCCACAGTTATTACCCCTGTCCCTACAGTAGCTACCCCCTGTCCCTGCAGCTTCTGTGTCCCCACAGTTATTACCCCCTGTCCCCACAGTTACTGTCCCTGTACCCACAGTTATTACCCTGTCCCCACAGTTATCCCCCTGTCCCCACAGTTACTGTCCCTGTCCCCACAGTTACTGTCCCTGTACCCACAGTTATCCCCCTGTCCCCACAGTTATTCCCCTGTCCCCACAGTTATTACCCTCTGTCCCCACAGTTATTACCCTCTGTCCCCACAGTTATTCCCCTCTGTCCCCACAGTTATTCCCTGTCCCCACAGTTATTACCCTCTGTCCCCACAGCTATCCCCCTGTCCCCACAGTTATTCCCCTGTCCCCACAGCTATTACCTCTCTGTCCCCACAGTTATCCCCTGTCCCCACAGTTATCCCCCTGTCCCCACAGTTATTACCCCTTGTCCCCATAGTTATTACCTCTCTGTCCCCACAGTTATTCCCCCTGTCCCCACAGTTATTACCCCCTGTCCCCACAGTTATTACCCTCTGTCCCCACAGTTATCCCCCTGTCCCCACAGTTATTACCCTGTCCCCACAGTTATTACCCCCTGTCCCCACAGTTATCCCCCTGTCCCCACAGTTATACTCCCTTGTCCCCACAGTTATTACCCCCTGTCCCCACAGTTATACCCCTATCCCCACAGTTATTACCCCTGTCCCCACAGTTATCCCCCTGTCCCCACAGTTATTACCTCTGTCCCCACAGTTATTACCCCTTGTCCCCATACAGTTATTACCCTCTGTCCTCACAGTTATACCCCCTGTCCCCACAGTTATTACCCCTGTCCCTCACAGTTGATACCCTGTCCCCACAGTTATACCCTGTCCCCCACAGTTATTACCCCCTGTCCCCACAGTTATCCCCCTGTCCCTACAGTTATACCCCTGTCCCCACAGTCATTGCCCCCTGTCCCACACAGCTATACCCCTGTCCCCACAGTTATTACCTCCTGTCCCACAGTTATTGTCCCCTGTCCCCACAGTTATACCCCTGTCCCCATCAGTTATTACCCCCTGTCCCCACAGTTATCCCCCTGTCCCCACAGTTATTACCCCCTGTCCCCACAGTTATTACCCTCTGTCCCCATCAGCTATCACCCTGTCCCACATTTTTCCGTGTCCCCACAGTTGTTACCCCCTGTCCCCACATTTCCGTGTCCCCACAGCTATACCCTCTGTCCCCAACAGTTAGCACCTCTCTGTCCCCACTAGTTATTACCCCCTGTCCCCACAGTTATTACCCTCTGTACTCCACAGTTATTACCCTCCTGTCCCCACAGTTATTACCCCCTGTCCCCACAGTTATTACCCTCTGTCCCCACAGTTATTACCCCCTGTCCCCACAGTTATTACCCCCTGTCCCCAGTTATTCTTGTCCCCACAGTTATTACCCCCTGTCCCCACATTTTTCCGTGTCCCCACAGTTATTACCCCCTGTATCCAGTTTTTCTGTGTCCCCACAGTTGTTTTTCCGTGTCCCCACAGTTATTACCCTCTGTTCCCACAGTTATTACCCCCTGTACCCACATTTTTCCATGTCCCCACAGTTATTACCCTCTGTCCCCACAGTTATTACCCTCTGTTCCCACAGTTATTACCCCCTGTACCCACATTTTTCCATGTCCCCACAGTTATTACCCCCTGTCCCCACAGTTATTACCCCCTGTACCCAGTTTTTCCGTGTCCCCACATTTTTCCGTGTCCCCACAGTTATTACCCGCTGTACCCACAGTTATTACCCTCTGTATCCAGTTTTTCCGTGTCCCCACAGTTATTACTCTCTGTACCCAGTTTTTCTGTGTCCCCACAGTTATCCCCCTGTCCCCACAGTTATTACCCCCTGTCCCTGCAGTTTTTCTGTGTCCCCACAGTTATTACCCCCTGTCCCCACAGTTACTGTCCCTGTACCCACAGTTATTACCCTGTCCCCACAGTTATTACCCCCTGTCCCCACAGTTATTACCCTCTGTCCCTGCAGTTTTTCTGTGTCCCCACAGTTATTACCCTGTCCCCACAGTTATATCCCTCTGTCCCCACAGTTATCCCCCTGTCCCCACAGTTATTACCCCTGTCCCTACAGTTATTACCCCTGTCCCCAGTTATTACCCTCTGTCCCCACAGTTGTACTCCCTGTCCCCACAGTTATCCCCCTGTCCCCACAGTTATTACCCCCTGTCCCCACAGTTACTGTACCCACAGTTATCTCACTGTCCCCACAGTTATTACTCTCTGTACCCAGTTTTTCTGTGTCCCCACAGTTATTACCCTCTGTCCCCACAGTTATTCCCTGTCCCCACAGTTGTTACCCCCTGTCCCCACTAGTTATCCCCCTGTCCCCACAGTTATTACCCTGTCCTCCACAGTTATCCCCTGTCCCCACAGTTGCCCCTGTCCCCACAGTTATTGCCCCCTGTCCCCACAGTTATTACCCTCTGTCCCCACAGTTATTCCCCTGTCCCCACAGTTATTACCCTGTCCCCACAGTTGTTCACTCCCTGTCCCCACAGTTATTACCCCCTGTCCCCACAGTTATTACCCCCTGTCCCCACAGTTATTACCCTCTGTCCCCACAGTTATTACCCTCTGTCCCCAGTTATTACCCCCTGTCCCCACAGTTACTGTCCCCACAGTTATTCCGTGTCCCCACAGTTATTACCCCCTGTCCCCACATTTTTCTGTGTCCCCACAGTTATTACCCGCTGTACCCGCCCTCCGAGGAGCTGAACCTGGACCTGGAGGCGGCCGCGCTCGGCGCCCGCCTGCCCGTCACGCCCGACGTGCTGGTGACGCCCTCCGAGCTGCGCTTCTTCATCAAGGTCAGTGATCCCAATCCCAATCCCACATCCCAATCCCTGCTTCTTCATCAAGGTCAGTGATCCCAAATCCTGAGCCCAATCCCAAATCCCAGTCCCTGCTTCTTCATCAAGGTCAGTGAGCCCAAATCCCAATCCCACATCCCAGTCCCTGCTTCTTCATCACGGTCAGTGATCCCAATCCCAAATCCCAATCCCACATCCCAATCCCTGCTTCTTCATCAAGGTCAGTGATCCCAAATCCTGAGCCCAATCCCACATCCCAATCCCTGCTTCTTCATCAAGGTCAGTGATCCCAATCCTAAATCCCAATCCCACATCCCAATCCCTGCTTCTTCATCAAGGTCAGTGATCCCAATCCTCAATCCCAATCCCAAATCCCAATCCCTGCTTCTTCATCAAGGTCAGTGTGATCCCAATCCTAAATCCCAATCCCAAATCCCAATCCCTGCTTCTTCATCAAGGTCAGTGATCCCATCCCAGATCCTGATCCTGATCCCAGATCCTGAGCCCAACCCCACATCCTGATCCCAAATCCTGATCCCAATCCTAGATCTCAATCCCTGCTTCTTCATCAAGGTCAGAGTGAGAGCCCCATCCCAGATCCTGATCCCAAATCCTGAGCCAACTCCCATCCTGGCTGTATCCCGGTGTTCCCAGCTCTCATCCCAGCTGTATCCCAGTGTTCCCACACCCATCCCAGTGTTCCCACTCCCATCCCAGCTGTATCCCGGTGTTCCCACACCCATCCCAGTGTTCCCACTCCCATCCCAGCTGTATCCTGGTGTTCCCACTCCCATCCCGGTGTTCCCACTCCCATCCCAGTGTTCCCACTCCCATCCTGATGTTCCCAACTCCCATCCCAGCTGTATCCCAGCATTCCCACTCCCATCCCGGCGTTCCCAACTCCCATCCCGGTGTTCCCAACTCCCATCCCAGCTGCATCCCAGCATTCCCACACCTATCCCGGTATTCCCAACTCCCATCCCGGCGTTCCCGCTCCCATCCCGTCCGTGCCCCTCCCCTGACCCCCATTCCCTCCTTCCCTCAGGACGTCCTGGGCTGCGTCTGCCTCAACCCCGGCCGGCTGACCAAGGGCCGTGCCGGGGGCACCTTCGGCCGCCTGTGGATCCAGCGGGAATCGGAGCCGCCGGGGCCGCCGGGGCCGCGCCGGAGCCCCTGCGTGGCCGCCCAGATCGTCCGGATCTGACCCCTCGGGACCCCCGCGGGACAGGGTGGGGAAACACCCGGAATTCCGGGGCCAATCCCCCCCTTCCCGCTGGATTTCCCTGGGAAAGGGGGATCTGGGATTGGGGGGGAAGGTCCGGGATCCCCATCCTGGTGTTGGAATGGGGGGAAAACGGGGAATGATGAGGGAGCGTCCTCGTTAAGGGGCTCGGAGTTAATCCAAGGCCTTTTCACCCCAAATAAAATGTCGTTTTTTCCCGACACCCCCAAAAACCCCTTTTCCCTGATTTTTTTCCCACCATTCCCGCCGTTTCCCACTTTTTGCACCTGCAGAGGGAAGGGAGAGAAGCCCCCTTTTCCCTCCCCATTTTCCGCTTGGATTCTCCTCTTCCAGCCTCGTTTTTTGGAAAAACGAGGAGAATCCAAGCGGAAAAGGGACCTTGAGGAAGAAGCAGGGATTCTTTTTTTCCAAGGAAAAACGATGATTTTGGTTAAAACAGCAGCGGGATGAGCCGGGGCTGCATCGCTGGGGGGATTTGGGGGGAATTTTGGGACAATTTGGGACTGGATTTCCCCGGGAAGAGGATCCAGGATTTCCCCGGGAAGAGGAGCCAGGATTTCCCTGGGAAGAGGATCCAGGATTTCCCCGGGAAGAGCAGCCAGGATTTCCCCGGGAAGAGGAGCCAGGATTTCCCCGGGAAGAGGAGCCAGGATTTCCCCGGGCAGAGCCAGGATTTCCAGGAAGAGGAAGTTACGTATTGTAGTGATCCCAATCCCAAATCCCAATCCCACATCCCAATCCTTGCTTCTTCATCAAGGTCAGTGAGCCCAATTCCAATCCCAATTCCACATCCTGAGCCCAATCCCACATCCCAATCCCTGCTTCTTCATCAAGGTCAGAGTGAGAGCCCCATCCCAGATCCTGATCCCAAATCCTGAGCCAACTCCCATCCTGGCTGTATCCTGGTGTTCCCACACCCATCCCAGTGTTCCCAACTCCCATCCCAGCTGTATCCCAGCGTTCCCAACTTCCATCCCAGCTGTATCCCAGTGTTCCCAACTCCCATCCCAGCTGTATCCCGGCATTCCTGCTCCCATCCCAGTGTTCCCAACACCCATCCTGGCTGTATCCCGGCGTTCCCGCTCCCATCCCGGTGTTCCCAATTCCCATCCCAGTGTTCCCGCTCCCATCCCAGTGTTCCCTCCTCCCATCCCGGTGTTCCCAACTCCCATCCTGGTGTTCCCAACTCCCATCCCAGCTGTATCCCGGCGTTTCCCGCTCCCATCCCAGCTGTATCCCGGTGTTCCCAACTCCCATCCCGGCGTTCCCAACTCCCATCCTAGTGTTCCCGCTCCCATCCCAGTGTTCTCAACTCCCATCCCGGCGTTCCCGCTCCCATCCCGGCGTTCCCGCTCCCATCCCGGCGTTCCCGCTCCCATCCCAGTGTTCCCAATTCCCATCCCGGCGTTTCCCGCTCCCATCCCAGCTGTATCCCGGTGTTCCCGCTCCCATCCCAGCTGTATCCCGGTGTTCCTGCTCCCATCCCGGCGTTCCTGCTCCCATCCCAGTGTTCCCACTCCCATCCCAGCTATATCCCGGCGTTCCCAACTCCCATCCCGGTGTTCCCGCTCCCATCCCAGCTGTATCCCGGTGTTCCCACTCCCATCCCGGTGTTCCCACTCCCATCCCAGCATTCCCGCTCCCATCCCGGCGTTCCCGCTCCCATCCCAGCGTTCCCAACTCCCATCCCAGTGTTCTCAACTCCCATCCCGGTGTTCCCACTCCCATCCCAGCTGTATCCCGGCGTTCCCGCTCCCATCCCGCTGTTCCCAACTCCCATCCCGCTGTTCCCACACCCATCCCGGTGTTCCCAATTCCCATCCCGGTGTTCCCACTCCCATCCCAGTGTTCCCAACTCCCATCCCGGCGGTTCCCAACTCCCATCCCGGCGTTCCCGCTCCCATCCCGTCCGTGCCCTGCCCCTCCCGTGACCCCCATTCCCTCCTTCCCTCAGGACGTCCTGGGCTGCGTCTGCCTCAACCCCGGCCGTCTGACCAAGGGCCGTGCCGGGGGCACCTTCGGCCGCCTGTGGATCCGCCGGGAATCGGAGCCGCCGGAGCCGCCGGGGCCGCGCCGGAGCCCCTGCGTGGCCGCCCAGATCGTCCGGATCTGACCCCTCGGGACCCCCACGGGACGGGGGGGGGGGAACACCCGGAATTCCGGGGCCAACCCCTCCCCTTCCCGCTGGATCTGCTGGGAAAGGGGGATCTGGGATTGGGGGGGAAGGTCCGGGATCCCCGTCCTGGTGTCGGAATGGGGGGAAAACGGGGAATGATGAGGGAGCGTCCTCGTTAAGGGGCTCGGAGTTAATCCAAGGCCTTTTCACCCCAAATAAAATGTCGTTTTTTCCCGACACCCCCAAAAACCCCTTTTCCTGATTTTTTCCCACCATTCCGGCCGTTTCCCACTTTTTGCACCTGCAGAGGGAAGGGAGAGAAGCTCCCTTTTCCCTCCCCATTTTCCGCTTGGATTCTCCTCTTCCAGCCTCGTTTTTGGAAAAGCGAGGAGAATCCAAGCGGAAAAGGACCTTGAGGAAGAAGCAGGGATTCTTTTTCCAAGGAAAACGATGATTTTGGTTAAAACAGCAGCGGGATGAGCCGGGCTGCATCGCTGGGGGATTTGGGGGAATTTTGGGACAATTTGGGACTGGATTTCCCCGGGAAGAGGATCCAGGATTTCCCCAGGAAGAGCCAGGATTTCCCTGGGAAGAGGATCCAGGATTTCCCCGGGAAGAGGAGCCTGGATTTCCCCGGGAAGAGCAGCCAGGATTTCCCCGGGAAGAGCCAGGATTTCCCCGGGAAGAGGAGCCAGGATTTCCCCGGGAAGAGGAGCCTGGATTTCCCCGGGAAGAGCAGCCAGGATTTCCCCGGGAAGAGGAACCTGGATTTCCCCGAGGAAGAGGAGCCTGGATTTCCCCGGGAAGAGCCAGGATTTCCCCGGGAAGAGCAGCCTGGATTTCCCCAGGAAGAGCCAGGATTTCCCTGGGAAGAGGATCCTGGATTTCCCCGGGAAGAGGAGCCTGGATTTCCCGAGGAAGAGCAGCCTGGATTTCCCCGGAAGAGGGCCAGGATTTCCCGGAAGAGGAGCCAGGATTTCCCAGGAAGAGGAGCCAGGATTTCCCGGGAAGAGCAGCCTGGATTTCCCGGAAGAGGAGCCAGGATTTCCCGGGAAGAGGAGCCAGGATTTCCCCAGGAAGAGCAGCCAGGATTTCCCGGGAAGAGCAGCCTGGATTTCCCGGGAAGAGCAGCCTGGATTTCCCCGGGAAGAGCCTGGATTTCCCCGGGAAGAGGAGCCAGGATTTCCCCGGGAAGAGGAGCCAGGATTTCCCCGGGAAGAGCAGCCTGGATTTCCCCGGGAAGAGCCAGGATTTCCCGGGAAGAGCAGCCTGATTTCCCGGGAAGAGCAGCTAGGATTTTCCGGAAGAGCCTGGATTTCCCCGGGAAGAGGAGCCTGGATTTCCCCGGGAAGATCCTGGATTTCCCCGGGAAGAGGAGCCAGGATTTCCCGGGAAGAGCAGCCTGGATTTCCCTGGGAAGAGCCAGGATTTCCCCGGGAAGAGGAGCCAGGATTTCCCCGGGAAGAGGAGCCTGGATTTCCCCCCGGGAAGAGGAGCCAGGATTTCCCCGGGAAGAGCAGCCAGGATTTCCCCGGGAAGAGCCAGGATTTCCCCGGGAAGAGCGGCCTGGATTTCCCCAGGAAGAGGAGCCAGGATTTCCCCGGGAAGAGCCAGGATTTCCCCGGGAAGAGGAGGCAGGATTTCCCCGGGAAGAGCAGCCTGGATTTCCCCGGGAAGAGGAGGCAGGATTTCCCCGGGAAGAGCAGCCTGGATTTCCCCGGGAAGAGCAGCCTGGATTTCCCCGGGAAGAGGAGCCAGGATTTCCCCGGGAAGAGCGGCCTGGATTTCCCCAGGAAGAGCAGCCAGGATTTCCCCGGGAAGAGCAGCCAGGATTTCCCCGGGAAGAGCCAGGATTTCCCCGGGAAGAGCAGCCAGGATTTCCCCGGGCAGAGGAGCCAGGATTTCCCCGGGAAGAGGAGGCAGGATTTCCCCGGGAAGAGAAGCCAGGATTTCCCCGGGAAGAGCAGCCAGGATTTCCCTGGAAGAGCAGCCAGGATTTCCCCGGGAAGAGCCCAGGATTTCCCTGGGAAGAGGAGCCTGGATTTCCCCGGGAAGAGCCTGGATTTCCCGGAAGAAGAGCCAGGATTTCCCCGGGAAGAGCCAGGATTTCCCCGGGCAGAGGGAAGCGGAGGCCCCGGGGTGGGGCCCTGGCGCGGGGCCGGCGGAGCTGCGGGAGCTGCGGGAGCTGCGGGAGCGGCCGCGCTCGGGACGCTCCGGTGAGTCCTTCCCGGCCCCTTCCCGGCCCCATTCCCGGCGGGATCCCCCCGGGAGCAGCCCCAGGGGGTTTGGGTGGGGGGGGATGGCCGCGGGTGACAGCGCCGGAGATTTGGGAGCTGGGAATTTCGGGGGGTTGGAATTGGCCTCTTCCCGGTGGCGGCTCCCGAATCCCGGGATGCTGCGGACGAGGTGGGGGCAAGCGGCTTTTTCCAGGGAGTTCCGGGGTTTGTTCGTGTCCCCGTCGCATCCCCGAGCCCTGATTTAACGGGAAGGGGGAGGATTCCTTCCTGTTATCCATGAAAGAAAACCGGATCCCCCTCTCGCTCTCCTCCTTCCCCGCCCCCTCTCCCGGTCCCGGCTTAATTAAAATCCAGCGCTTTAATTTTACCCCCGGTGGGACCTTCCCTCCCGCTCCCGGCTCAGATTATCCTGGGAAGAGCCGCTGGATGCCGGGGGCAGGCGGCAGGGACAGGCCGGATCCCACCCCGGGGCATTTTCCAGGTTTATTTTTTCCGTGGCACCGCCAGAATTCCCGGATTTTTTGGTTTGTTTTTTGGGGTTTTTTTTGGGGTGCCCGTTCCGAGGAGCCCCCCGGGCCCGGAGGGGACCCCGGCCCTGCCCTCGGCCCATCCCGACCTCCTGCGCCACAACCGGCCCTGGGTGGGGCTGGGCCGGGCGGAGCCTCCCCAGGGATTTGTTTTTTTCCGGGATTTGGAGGAGTTTTTCGTGGGTTTTGGGGTTGGTTTTGGGGGTTTTTTTGGCGGGG